AACCGGGGGGGGGGGGGGGGGCAGGGGGGGGCCTGGACCTGATGAGCTGCAAGGTCCCTTCCAGCCCCTAACAATCTATGAATCTTTCCCCTCAGTTTGCAAAGGAGATCAAGAGAAGAGAATCATTGGCAAACGAGGGACTTGATCATAGGTCCCTCATAAAAGACTAGAATACAACACTGCTCCCAACTACTAAAGCATGACAACAGCACAAGAGAAAGGGAAATGGTATCCTAGGTTTGTTGGCTTGCAACTGGTACAGCAAACAGAGGAGTTTAAGCAGGATTTATCCTAGCAAGGAAAGAGCAGGCCCTCTTCATCAAGGTTCATTAAATTCAGTTTGCATGGTCTGTATATGTAAGAAGGTACTGTGTGTTTGTGCCATGGTATGAGAGGGCTGTCTTCATCTGTAGACAGTATTCTTCTTAAGATACGAGTATGTTTTAACAAATTCCTTGCCACTGCACACAGGTGGTTAGCCATGTTATCCTGAGGTCAGACCAAAGACAGGAAAAGGCAGCACTTCAGAGATTAACTGGTTCAAGGAGGAATGAAGCTTTTGTAGGCAGTTTTCTTTGTCAGATACCAGGATGACTTATCTGGTGAAGTACATGAAAGCACCAGTTAGTCTCTAGAGGTGCCACCCTGCTCTACCTTGTGTCTTCCCCAGTGCAGCAACCAAGGCATCAGTAGCACCCTTGTCTCTCCTGCTTTTATACCAACCAATTCTAACCTACACTAACCACTATCAGTCTGACCTGCAATTGAACACAGCCGTAACATTTCTCTCATCATCTGAGCTATTGCATTACATTTCACAATGGCCAGACAATGCATACTACTTGACCAAATTAGACCAGAATATCTTGTAGACATTAGTAGTAAGCTATACATATGAAAACCAGTTACCTGCTGATGACAGAATTTCACTTTGGGGTTGTTGTCAATTTCCCATAACCCTTCATTAAAGCCTTTTCTTTTATTTGGTTTGCCATATTTATCTTTATTTTCAGAATAAGGAAATATGTCCTTTGGTCCCAAAAATGCCCTATAAGAGGTGAAAAAAAATGTTAAGAGAAATATTTTTCTACTCCAGTATCATAATCTTTAATATTGCCCAAAACATGTGCACATATAGTACAAAAAGGGAAAAATCACTACCAAGGTATCTGAAGTAATAAAAGGTGTAAGAAATAAAGAAACGAGACAACTAAGAGTCCTTAAATCTTAAAAATGGGATTTGAGATGCAAGGTAAGTTACAGACATTAGTTTGAGTTGAAGAACTATAGCAGTCCATTCAGGACCTTTTTCTATAGGGTCAGAGTCAAATAATAAGCAACACTATTTTTTCTAAGTTGGACTTGGGAGAACAAAGTAAAAAAGGTCCGTTTCAATGTTGTGCTTTACACTGCAAAATATTAAAGACAAATCAAGACTTCTCTTGCATTCATGTTCTTGAGGGTTACATTTCTTAAGAGGAATGTGTCTGTTGGTAAACAGTACAAATGAAGAGTTTAGAAATATATTCTCATTTTTAATCTGTGCTGTCTGAGAGAGTGCAAATCCAAGACCCAACTGCTCAAAAGGCTGTGGCCACAGCGGTCTATACCAAATGTAAATCTGTAAATCCTAGAGAAACTAGTTGTACTTTTTCCTCATCATTTATATTTAGGTCTACCTGAAACTCATATCCAACTCACCGAATTAGTAAAAGGAGAATGAATAAATCATTTAATAGCACTTAAACCATTCCTCACTGTAAGTTACTTTGCTGTCCACTAAATGTGCTTTAAGTATAAAGAACCTGTTACTTAAGTTACAAAACTTTATGATGGGTGTCAAACTAACTTTTGCCTTCCTGAGGCCAGATACAGACTGTGGGGTTTTTCTTGGGCTGGATCTGGACTACAAGGGGCCTCCTACGCTGGATTTCAACTACCAGCAGCAGGGCAAACATCAGTGCAGGAGTTAGTTTGATACAGGCCTCTGGCAGATGTTACACTTAAGACATGCTTAACTGGTTAATTACATCTTAAGGAGCAGTATTACATAAAATACATGTAATAACTTTATGTCTGGTTCCCACTGCCCTTGAGTATATCGCCAGCAGTCCCAGCCTCCAGAGCACACCACACCACACCACACCACACCACACCAGATCCATTCAAGATTCTGGTGTGCTCCAGAGACAGGGACTGCCATCCAGCTGCCCAGCACTCCCAGCTAGGGAATGCATGAGAACCCTTGCCTCTTGTGCACTCCAAGCCAGGAGCACCAGCTGATCAAGGCTCCTAGCTGGTGGGGAGTTCAGGGGAGTCAAGAACTCTGATACAATACCTTACTGAGAGCCCTAAATAGTGCTCCTAGGCAGGGAAGTGCACCAGTGCCCTTGGGTCTCCTGTCCTCCCCCACCTGACAGCTCCAATCAGGTGGTGCTCCCAGCCATGGGAGTGCCTGGGAGTGTTAATCAGCTGGTATTCCTAGCCATGGGAGCACATGGAAACCGAGTTTGCTACTTGCTGGTGGAGGAAGCTTGGGATCATGATTCTGGGCTCCCCCTGTACCAGCAATATGGTAGCGTCAGGAACTGATCCCCAATCCCACAGTCTTGCCTCCTGCCGTGTACACGTAACACGGCAGAAGGCATTAGATCCCACCCTGCCTTGAATTTAGATGTCTGTCAGTGACCACAGCCATTGCTTGTCTCCCACCATGTGTGGCCAATGGGGCTCTTGATGGCAGGCCCCACCCATGTCCCTACCCCCAAATTCTCAGCCACCCTAGAAGTCCTGCAGGCTGGGTGAAACTGAAAGCCAGATGTTTGACACCCTGATTTATTAATTACTTTAAATACATAATTCACTTACTGTATTGAACCAGCAGACAGATGATGGCAAATCTCTACAAGCAGATGTGACCAACATTTGGTTAAAATATGAATAACAGACAGCAATACATTACTAATTAACAGACAGGTACCATTTCATGCCTCATTGGTTTCTAGATGGAAAGGCATCAATGGAAGACAAAACTATTAAAAAACCCACTGTAATGCAAGAGGCATGTCCTGTTCTTTGCAAAGCAGGCAATCATACTTTAAATTTCACTGTAGCATGCAAAGAAATCTACAAATGTATGAAATTTAGCAAGCCGACTCTCGTTACTTTTTGGTAAATTGCAAAACTACAACGCACTAAATTACACTGCACAATGAGGGAAAGGTTTAAAGTTCTAGAGAAAAAAAATTCTAAGAGATCATTTAAAGAAACCTCCAAAGACACTATTATTGTAACATGGAATTTACCATGTAACCAACTAGACTTCAGCCATATTTATTTTTTGTGACAGCGTCTAAGAGCAAGTTCTCAGAAATATTGAAGTATCTTTTCACTTACGTCTAAGTTTCAAGCAATTTGACACTTAGGCCCCTCGTCATATTGAAAATAAACAGAAAGCTTCTATTCAGGAAGGTACTTACTGCCAATCCCCATCTGTCACCTATTGCTAATAATTGGTAAGTAATTCAGATACTTAAGTACTATCACCTACTCTCATCATCTACTTTATATACATGTACTTTGGTTAAATGTATAGAAAGTGATGAAGGGGAAGTACCTGTTAAAGTGTCACTTTTAGAAGTGGTTAGTCAGTTTTAGGGCCATTGTTATAGAGGCCTTGAAAATAAGAGAGTGCTGCACTAAAACAAGCTACGTCCCATAATTTTTAATGCTTCTAATACAGTGGTTTCAAACCTGGGTGCTGTGATGCAGGTGCTGCTGCCATGGCAACAGCCAGGTAAAACCCACTTCTTGCATTTGGGCTGTGATCAGCCTGAAGCAGGCAGGAATTGGGCTGCTGCAGCCTGGGTGGGCCTGTCCAATGCTCCACCCAGAAAGAGGCACACAGGACAGTTATACCTGTGCATTTCTGTTTTTGGGAGGAACGTACAGGGTACTGGACAGGCTGCAGCAGCAGGTTTTAGGTTTATCACAGCCTGACTACAGCAGAAGAGTGTGCATGTGCCATAGCCCTTTCAGACTGGCTGTGAAACAGGTGCACAGGGAAGCAGCAGAACCCTGTTGAGAAGCACTGAGGTAAGCTGAAGCAGGACCGGCAACAGTTCTCATCTAGAAATGTTACCACATTCAAAAAGAGTGGTAGACGGGTGCCCTGTCCCTGAAATGGTAAAAACCACTGTTCTAATATCAGCCCTGAAACTATTAATTGCTGTCAATCTTGAGGCTTTTAACAGTTTAAGGAAACTAATACTGCAGCACTAACAGTGCAAGTAAACACTAACAAAATCATGGGATAATAGGGCTTTGAGGAACCTAAAGAGATCATCTAATTAACCATCTGCTCAAGTCAGAAACTTCTCCATAAACTATCCCAACCAAGTGTTTGTGTAACTTAGTGGTCCTCAACTGCCCCAGACCCCTATTTCCAGGGGCATATGAAGCCAGACAGGCAAACTGCTGTGGCAGGAAGGGGCAGTCCTGCCTGCATGAGGTTTATCAGGTTAAAAAAAAAAAAATGACAACAAAATAATACCAGTCTTTACCTTGAAAGAGAATAACCTAAACTTAGTACATAAATTGGATTACCTTAAAAGGAAAACTGGTGTCCAGAACAATAAAAAGGTGGGAGAATAAAACTACTCTATCTAGACACTCAAACAGAAATAGAGGACATCACGTAACTTTCATTCTTGCAGTTTAAAGCATACAACCAAAGAGCTGGTGTGTCACTCCACCTCAGTGGTATCTGATGCAACAAAAAAAGTACTTGGATCACATGAAGAATTAATAGGCACTTACCTAAATCATGGTGGAAGTTTGTAGCACAGCAGCATTTTAAATCTCGTTCTCTTCACTGCATACCACCCCCCCCGGTGTGGCAAAAAGAACCACAGCAGTAATTCCTTCTCGGCCACTCAGCAGCAGGAAGGGGTGTGCAGCAAAAAGACTGAGATTAAATGAATCGCTATGCCACAAACTTCTGCCACCATTTTGGTAAGTCCCTAAGAATAGATACTGCAGTGCTGGATACTGAGGAGACAGTGGGGCAACAGCAATTCAGCAAACCAGAAAAGGTGATTTAAGGCCATTTTGACTAATCAAAATATCAGTGTGAACCAAGGTACAGTAGTATCAATTACAAACATTTTATATTATGTGTTTATGCAGTCGCCCCATCCATTAGGACCATCTAACAGGAAGGATGCTGGTATAAATGTTTTTGAAATGGGGTGCCACTAAATTCAGAAAGGTTATGGAGGGGTGCCTTGATTCTAAAGAGATTGATAACCACTGGCTATCCTGTACTTAAAAAAACAACAACAACAACAACAACAACAACAAAGAAACCTTCCAATGATGGATATCCCACAATATCTTTCAGTAATCTAAAGCCAATCCTTCACCGCTCTCAGAATTAGAAAGTTCTTCCAAATATCAGACTTAAGTTTCCTGTCTTGCAATTTAAGACCATTGCTTTTTGTCCTGTCTCCTGTGGACAGAGAAGTCTACCATCATCTTTTTGATATTTTAAAACTCAATAGTCCATCCCTCCCTCAGTAGTCCCTTCTCCAGGCTACCCATCTCAGTTCTTCCAAACTTTTCTTGTGCATTGAATTTCCTAGGAGTCAAATAACTTGTGTTGCTCTCTGCTAGACTCTCTTCAAATTTGTTCATGTCTTTTTTGAAGCTTAGAATCCTAAGCCAGACAGCACTCCAGCTGAGGCTTCACCACAGCTGAATGGTATGAAACACTCATTTCCCATGACTTGCATAAGAGATTCCTGGTCATACATCCCTATTTGCCACTGGCTTTTTGGAACCAATGGCACACTGTTGACTCATAGTCAGCTTGTCTTTTTCTGAAGATTTGAAGCATTACCAGCAATACCCCAATTCATATTTGTACAATCAATTGCTCCTTCCTAAGTGAAATACTATGCAGGCTCATTAAGTACACAGTACTGTCAGTATTGTAATTTAAATAGTCCCCAAACTGACTTGTTCCTGTCATTTTCAAAACTTCTAAGAGCAGTTCCAAAATTAATTATTAGGAGCCTTGAAAAATGACAGGAACAGGTCAGTATTGTGGCTGCTTCTATTGCAGTACTATATATTTAATAAGCAAAATTTACATCACGATTTCCCAACCATTTTTGCCTCACAGCACACTTACCTAAATAAAAAAGCACCATGGCACACTGGACAAAGGGGGTGGGGAGAGGGACACGACAGGGCCAGCTGGACAGCATTTTGGGGTGGAGCCAAGCTCCCCGTCCGTCTGCATCTGCAGCAGCAGCAGGCGGGAGGCACGGCTCCAGCCCAAAATGCTGCAGCACACCTGGACATGCCACGGCACACTGGTTAGGAAATGCCCGTTTACATTAAGTTTAGGTAAGTACATAGATATTTCTTCAGGCCCAAAGCTATTAACTTAAATGGAGAGCTGTATCCTTTAAAGAAGAGGAACAAAAAAAAAAAACCAAAAAAAAGCTAATGAATGAATGAATAAACGAATGATATTTCACCAGACAGGAAAGAAACAGAATGATGGTATTCTAAGTGTACAGCTACCCCAACAAGGACTGTGGTTCCACTGCACAGTACCTAGTGCACACACACAGAAAGAAATGGTTCTTGCTCCAAAGAGGTTTGAATCAAATTTTAAAAATATACAAGAGTACAGCAAAACAAAACAAAAAGGCTCTGAGCTGGTAAAAAGATCTATATGGGCAAAAAGTGACAACAGTGACACTTACCTGAACTAAACATGTATACAACTTGTCAGGCCCAAGTTATTTAAGTACAAAAGAGAGACCAAGTCAGTGAAGATTGCTAATGCATGTTTTCTTTACCTTATAATATTTTTATTTATTTATTTTTACAAATTTATAAGCCTCATAAGGTTTTCAAATTTGTGCTTTTCTTCCTCTGAAGAAATTTAACAGCAATAAAAAGTGCCCCTTACAAAATAACAAAAATATTCAAAGAGTATTTTCAAGTCTTGTATATCAAGACTAGCTTCCAACTGGCTATCTACACATGCTACACCAGTAGTTTTCAACATTTTTAAACCTGAGGAACTCCTTAGTAATGCTAACTCAGTTTTCATTTGTTTCTTGACTACAAAAGAGTAATTTTTCTGTCATAAAAAACTCACAAAGAGCACAACAGGGAAACATGGTTTTAGCATAGTGGATTCCTATTCAAAATCTCTGGGTTTATTTTGTGCATCACACTTGCACACCTACCACATTAATGTTGTGTGGCACCCTTGAAATGATCTCAAAGTACCCCAAGGTGCCATGACACCTTGGTGAAGAATCACTAGCCTACAATAACAAAGGGCCAAGAAATGAGACTACTCACAAATATACAGTACATTTAAGTTGCTGTGTAATTACCAGTTAACAGTTTTCACAATAGGAGATTAGAAATAGCATGTGCTTTTAAAATAACATCACAATTTCAGTTCTTCTAAAGCCTATTTCAAAATGCTTGTGTTGCTAACATTTTACCTGGATATTTCACAAAGCAACATTCATGAAACTAAAGGGATCAAGAACTTACAGAAAAAACATAATTGACTACTTTGTCTCTTTTCTAAAGAATAATGCTCAGTAATACACAAAAATTGTATATACTGTAATTTCAGTTTTATTGCAAATATCTTTTTCCTCAAGGACAAAATAAAGAAACAATGATATCTAAGGATAAAAGTTATATAAATAAGGAGGAAAGGAAATAATATATCTTCTCACATATATAGCACACCTCATATATAACATGAATGTTGTTCTAGAAAGGCAGCATGAAGTTAAAGAAAAAATTGCCTTGTAGTAACTGAGTAACAGCAGGAAGGGAGCCAAGCTCCATGTGTGGACCCTGTCTGCCAGGCCCAGAGCTGCAGCAATTAAAGCTGCCACTACTTCCCCATCACCAAATTTCCAGACCCATGGGGATTTGTATTTTTTGCATATAATGCACATTCCAATTTCCACCAGGTGGTTTTGGGGGAAAGACGGATATAATATGCAAGGAAACAGTACATAGGACAATCATAATCGCTGTAATTTTACAAAGTTGAATAAAAATTCATAAAGTTTCATGGAATGATTATAGATCAGTGTCCACCTCCGTATTTCACAACTGAAGTAATATAAATAACTAGCATGCATCTTCAGGTGCCTAACTTGTTAACTGTTGGTAGTTTAGTTGTCTACTGTTGAATGGTATAATTTGTGAATGCTACAAATGCAGACAGACAAACAACCATCAGATTGTTTTCATTTCCTTTTTGCTTTTAATCTACAGGACTTACGTCTCATGGGTGCCAAAAAAGAAAATGGGCATCTTATTTGTAGGAGGTTTTACTGCTCCATCAGGAACTTCATCCACCTAGGGACAGATGACAAGAATCAAAACATTTAGTAATTATGCAGAACGTGTGGGAAAACATTTAAGAAATATCAAATGAGAAACAAAATGGTAAAGAAAGAACTTCTGACAGAAGAACTGTTCTGTCAACTTTAACGCAGTAACATAACAAAACCCAGGTATCAAGGATGATGTTCAAATTGTGTTAGCAGCCCTTAAAGCAAAAAGGGCACCTGCAGGTTCCAAGACTAATGTTTTCTTCAAAAAAAACGGGGGCAGGATGAGCGTAAGCAGTATCTGATCCGATGCAAATACCTCCTTCTTACCACAATCCATAGCAACACTTCCTATCCCGTGCTGAACCAATGACTGGCACTGACACAATGCCTTACATATCTAAGGAAAAAGGGTATTAAAAAAGGAAGAAAAAATAACACAACACAAACACAGAAAGGAAACCCCAGGCTTCTACCATTCCTAACCCTGTGGTGCAAAGGGTATACACCACCAGCTTTGCCTCTGCAGGCTCACCAGTATCAACCCAACTAGAGTAGGTGCCACTCCCCGAGACCTAGGGTACCAGGCTGGCAACTGACCACTCTCTTCCTGAAAAGAGCGGGTGGAAAAGACTTTAAGACACCAGCAGCACAAAAATAAAATCCATTAGGAAAACAAGACAGGAGATAAACTGAAAACTGCTGCTGGGGGCAAGGGAGCAGGACACGTGATCCACAATCTGCTTTGGCTCCCAAATGGATGGACACAAAAACAGATGCTGGGGGCACTGCTGCTTTAAGCTGCTTCTACAGCTCGCAAGGCTCTGTTCAAGACCCCTTGGCCCCGGCTTGCCAACTACCACAACCAGATGCAGCAATGTTTGGAAAGCCCCCACCTGCTGACCAGGCCATAAGGAGAAAGGGAGGAGGGGGTGGGGAAGCCAAAACAGGCCCAAGCAGCCTCGTTGTAGGAGCCCTCCATTGCTTATGCTAGTAACTAAAGATAACAATTATATAAGGAAAAGAAATAGCTGATCAAGATAACAATTATATAAGGAAAAGAAATAGCTGATCTTCTCTCACCCGCACCCACATATAACACATATGTTGTTCCAGAAACGCAGTATGAACGAAAAAAATGCCCTTGTAGTAACCGAATAGCAGCAGCACCGGACCCAGGCAGCTGGAAGAAGCTTGTCCTCCTCCCTCCCCCAGCCCGCTGCTGTGGGGGGGCTCACCGCCCCCCCCCCATCCAGGCGCACTCGCAGGGGAGCTCGGGTGCCCCCGCACGGTCGTTTCCCGGGGGCGGGCGCCTTACCCGCGCGGGCCAGTGAGGGTAGCCCTTCATCTTGGCGAAGATCAGGTCTCCGGGTTTGAAGTCTCGGCTCATGGTTGTTGCCGCCAACGGGGGTCACAGTGCCGCCACCAGAGATGCCGCTGCGGGGGGTGGGGGGGAGCACAGAGCACGCGTGATTG